CACTGCTCTATGAATGCTTCAGCCCGGTTCAATTAAACCGTGCCTGCGGGAACTACTTTGGTAATAGCTCCTCCGGCACAGGCCGTCCCGCTTCAATGGTGCCTGTGACCTAACGTCAACCGATTGCCCCCACTAACCTACTGACAGAAGTGCTGTTGGGTGTCGCTGCCCTCTGTACCTGCCTGAGAAGGGAGGAGGTGAAACGTGGAGGTGGCGTGTCTGCTGGCCCAGATACTGTCAGGATATTTAGTCCAACTGGTTTACTCTCACTGGGTACCTTTAGGAAATGCTGACTCATTCACTCCTCGTCTTGGTTCACCGTGCAGCCAGACTGGCATTGGGCAACTCCTCATAGTGAGAAGCTGCCGAGTTGCCAGCAGTCTGGCAACTTTTGATGTGATTCGTTTTCTTGCTTCCTCCATCTACCTGCTGTTCCTCAACCACTCATCGTGGAACTGTACGTTGGGTACCAGAGGCATTCAGGGCCCTGGAGAATCCATACGGCCGTTTCTGGCTGCTGTGAGGAAGAGCCAGGAGCTGTCACCGGTTCTAGCTCATGCAGACTAGCAAATCCCCCCCTCCCCTTGGATGTACCCCCCCGCCCCTTGGATTTCCTTAGCTGTGCAAGCCTCAGTGCTTCGCCGCCAGGCTCTGCTGAAGGCTCCCCAGCTTGCCCAGGTGCCTGCAGCCTGCGCGGGTGACGTCCCCCTCGCTGGGACACAGCAGCAGAGGCACCCAGAGCCTGGATGCCAACCTAAGGGTTCTTTGACAGCCTTATTTGCGAGCCAAAAGGCTGTGTCACTAATTAGGAAAAGAAGCAGCTGGCTAACAGCTGTGGTTCTCTGGCTTATTAAAGGTAGTAATTAAAATTAAATAATATATCATTAATAGGAAACACAATTAATACGTTAACAATTATGACAGGTAGAAAACTGACCAAGGAGTGGCTGACTGGAACCAATAAGCAGGTCAGCAGAGCGGTCAGGAGCAAAGGAGTGCTTGCCGGTACACATAAAAGGCAGGCACGCCAAAAACCTTTCACTAGGCGGAGAAGTTTGAAGGGAGGGTTGGTGGTTTTGGTTTCCCTGAAATGCTGATGCAGAAAAGTACTTTTCTAAAAGTAGCAGAAGTATGAAATGAGGCTGGGGATGGGTTTTTCCGGACCTGTGGCAATCAAGAATGCTATTAATTTCTATAGGCGATGAGCATTTTAAAAACTGCAAGCACAGGTGGTTCAGAGGCCGTGCAGCACACAGACTTCTGTAATATTTACCGGAATCCCACGGAAACTCCACAAGTCTGGAAAAATGTTACTGTTCTACTGAAGACAAAACGTAGTGGGTCATTTTGGCACGAGCCCAGGCAAAATATCGGGATAAGGAATTGCTGCCGTTAGGACCAAGTAAAGAACCTGAAGGGAACAGAAAAAGAGGTGAACAGAAGGAACGCATCCTGTGTTATAGATATAGGGCATACCTATATGCCCTAGCTTTGAACAAGCTCATTCAACACCTTGGTAGCGCAGAGCCCCTGTGCTGAGCTGTCCCTGGTGTGAAAGCGCGAGCCCCCCGCACCCGAGCCCCGCGTACCGCCATGCCTGCTCGCCCCTGCTCTGTCTCTCGCCTTATTTTCTGCTGCGGTTTAACCGTTGGTTGAGGCTGGCTTCAACCAGCTTCACCGTGGAGCCAAGGGGGGGGTGTCATGAGCTTCAGGACGGGTGACTCCCACTGTGGTGCTTGTCCCCACTCGCCTCCTGGCTGGAGGATGCCTGTCCATCCCGCCGCCCTGAGACGCCAATGCCCCCGTGCTGGCCAGGGGCTGAGGTGCCTGACTGAGCATCCTGGAGTCTATTTTGAGGAGCCAAGTGCTTGAAACGAGGTTTTTGACTGAAAAACTTACACTCCATAATGAAAGCCCAAAACCGGTCACTAGAGAGCACCGGCCCTGACGAGGGCATTTCCAACAGGGACCACAGAGATGTTCATGCCTTAGGAAACAGAAAGCCACAGAAAGTGCTCATTTTGAGGTTTTTAAACCAAAGCCTAGCAGGTTGGCTAGAAGCTCGGAGGACAACCTACGAGTACAGTGGCATGGCACCGAAAGTCCTGCCTCGTCCTATTTAGACTGCTTGGTCTCGGCTCAGTTGCTCACATCTAGGCACCAAAAGCCACCTGTGTTTGTCTTGGGATTGCCAGGTGCTACGCAGGCCCCAGGGGGGACCCGCACCCGGCGGTGTGGTGCCCAGAGCACCTCTCACGGCGCTTGGAACCCATGGAGGGGTAGCGACATCCTCCAGGGATGTTTTCTACTTGAATCCAATGGACAAGATGAGTCCTTTGAAACAAATACAGATGAAAAGACACTTTAGTGACATGCAAAAAAGGAGGTAAGACGGACCTGATATTTCTCTTGCACTGGCATGAATCAAGAGTTTTGTTAAGGCTGATACGGTAGAGTTAGCTTTAAGAAGACTGGGACATGTTTTGTCTGACACAGCCCAGGAAAACAAGGAATGCCAGGATTGTATCCATTTGGAAGGATGAATCATAACTAACAAGCGCTCACAGGTACGGGAGCTGGGATATTACAGCAGCTCAAATGACTGGCAGAAGCAGAGCGCGCTAAGAATAAAAAAGCACTTGGAACTGAGAAAATCAATACACACTTTATATACTTACTACATTTTTTTAAAGTAATTATGGTATCATTAATACCATTTTGCCTATCATGGACCCACTAAGAGAGTACTTTAGTTTCCTTACTTGTTAGGCTTTCGATGCAGCGGTTTTGCTAGGAAGCCTCTGCCAAGGAGCAGTGTGAATTCTCTGTGGGCAATGCTGACACTTGACCAGACCCACTGAGCCCCTTTGCAGCAGTACCCAAAGCTGTCACCTCACCGGACAGTTGACCAGTGTCACAATAAACCTAACATGGATGCAGGAAAAAAACCCCCACAACCCTATACTGCCATACAACAGACCTTCCTATAGTACAACATACGCCTTGCAAAAAGACACCAGCAAGCCGGGGTGGCGATACCGCCTCATGGCAGCTGCAGAGCAAGGGGAGCAAGGAACAAAAACTCCTCTTTTTAGAGCAGTTGGGGGCTTGGGGCTGTCACCACAAATTCAGATGCTTCACACGTGCAGGCACAGAGCCTGGGAAGCATCAGGAGAAGCTGGCCGCTGCAGAAAGGCAAACAGCCTGCGCTCCAAGTGCCCCATGCCGGGATTTCCATGCAAGCCTAAAGAGAACCACTGAAGGAGGGCGGGATTGGCCCCCGCCAGCAGCAGGAGGGACGATGGAGCTGTACCGCTGAGGCCAGGTAGCATTTACCTGCAAACGCGGACCAAAACCTGCCCTGTTACATGGGTGTGAAGCGCCCCTCCAGCGCGGCTGGCAAGCAGGATCCCTGTTTGGCCACCTTCCCGGGAGTCCAAATCGCTTGTGCTGGGTCGTGGGGCCTCCTGATGGCTGCGCACGGGGAAGGAGCTAACCCCTGCTCCTCCTCTGGCTCCGGCTGAAGGGAGGGACGGCCGCTGGGTCAAGAGTGGCTGAGCAGCAACTCCTTTTCTTACTAGATGTCCCTTTTCGTAGCTGAGAGCTTTTGAAATGAGCTGCAGACAACCAAATGCAACCCAAGTACCCGCTCGGCCACTTACGGGGGGTCAGCTACAGAAAGGCCTGGCTTCCTGGAAAGAGATTTCCTTCCTGCAGGGAGACAAGGAGGCTGGGAAGGGAGCACCAGCAGTTAGGCACCGGCTGCGTCGCATTTTCCGGTGCAGAAGACCCGTTCCCAGCAAAGAGAAACCCCCTGTACTTGAAGGACCATCCCCG